GGACATACGTTTTATTTGTGTAATTTATACTGTATGTTAGAGTCAAATGCGTATTCAGTTGGGTAATGATTAAATGAAGGCTCAATCTACAGAGGCGTGCAGGAGAAAATCCGTTAAAATTCGATTAACCACTTAGGGTTAGCAGATTTTTTAGCAAGCTAAAAATTGAAAACGGCTAAAAATATACTAGTCAATAAGAGTATTGCTTTGTCCAATATGTGAAATATGTTACATGATTGACTGATTTGGTTAAATATTTTCTAAATAATATTGGAATACCTCTCCGGAAAAATTAGACCATTGAAATTTTGAAAAACGGGGTAAATAAATGATTTATATTAGGATCATTTGACGAAAACGTTATTTTTACATTTAAAAATTATGATTTTGCCAAAAATGTATTTCAGTATTGTTGTAGTTTCCATTATATTGTATTTGATAAAATGATTTATTTTAATAGATGTAATTTCTAGCGGATTGATTAAATTTATTACGTTTAAAAGAAACTGTAAAGATCAGTTACTTTACTCCTGAATTTAGAATAAAATATCCCCTGTTCTCCTATAAATTCTACAAGAATTTTCTTATCTATTCGTTTATTACCAATATAAAAAGTATAATGTGTAATAAACTCTTTTCAAAATAAAAAAAATCATTTTAAAAAAAAATAAGAATAAAATAATAAAATTTATAAACACTAAGGTGCCTCTAGTTATGACAAAATAAATTGATGAGACCGGCTTTACACCGCCCAGCCCGAATTTTTTTAAAATCTATTATATTTATATTAAATATTTATAGCTAATATGGCGGCGATTTAAAATGTTCGGTTTTATAATATATTGCCCGGCCCAGGTATTTTTCTTAAAAAAAAAATTTTAGGCACGGCCCAGATATATTTTAAAAAATTAATATAGGCCCGGCTCGTGGGCAGAGCTTAGGGCCGGGGCGGGCCTGGTTTGCAGATCTCTGATTGATATACATGGTGATATGCATTTGAAAACCGTTATTATAGTTCCCTAAAATTAAGCCCTAAGGGATTTTAAAAAATCCCAGCTACAGATCCGAAATCACCAATTGTGTGGGAAACAATGGGAAGATCTAACCAATAAAGCAATCAATGCATAAATTATCCCAGGCTAATGGAATTCATTCCATGGAGTCATTCTATCGGGCCTAATATTGTCTTCGAAATTAAATTTTAAGGGTTCCAACGTCGTTGGAATTAGAGATCTGCAAAGTTAGGCCCGGTCCGTACCCGGCTCGGCCCGAATTCCGTTCGGGCCCGGCTCGTGCCTAATTATATTTAAAACAATCGGGTTCGGGGCGGGCTTAATATTTTAAAAAAATTCGGACCCGGTTCGGGTCGGACCTTGGAATTTTTTTTAAATATATCTTAATTTATCAATTTTATATTGAATTTTTTATGTAAAATAAAAATATTTGATTTTATTTATTGAAACTAAACGACATATAACATATGTCTTTTATTTTGAGTAATTATAAAAATTAATTTCTATATTTAAATAAATTCGGGCCAGGCCGGGTATGTAAATTTTTTAAAAAAAATTTCGGGTTCGGGCCGGGCCGGATAAACTTTTTTAAAAAAAATTTTGGGCCGGGCCGGGGTTAAAAAGATAGGCCCGATGCAGATCACTAGTTGGAATATGACAGAACGGATAATCTAGCATCATCGACAGTGGTATAAAAATTGCCGTTTCTCAAAAGGCAGCCATTCATGCCACTAAGCATGCAATTGACAGATTTCGCATGATGAGGGTGTGACGATATCATATCCTAAACAAGAGATTATTATACTTCGTTTAAACAATGGTTAGAGCTTGAGATGGCTTCGACACATTCATAACCTGAGATGAAGTATTAGATTGTTGATTACTAACTTGATTTATTTGGGAGGTGATAACTGGGTTAAAGATCCAAGAAGTGGCCTTCGAAACAGCATTCGAGAAAAGGAATTGAACAGAATATTGAATTAAGGGTAAGTTCCAGTTGTCTAGAAAATAAAGGCGAGAATTTGTTTTCCATAGATCTAGAGCTATCATTAGATAGAGGTTTTTGGTAATGATAAAAGTGTTGATAATTAGCTGACTTTTTTATGACAAGAGGAAAGCTGCAATGCTCAGTGAAGCAAGAAATCATAGGCCTATATAAGTCCAAATTTGGTGGGAGATAAACTTGCATCCAATAAGTAAGTCAAAATTTGAGGTTAAGTTTTGTTTTGTAAGGGATTTACTCAAAATCTCAAATCAAATAACATGTCAGGGAATAGAAATAGAGGATAAATGAAAGGCATTTTTGGAATGTATAGGAATTTTTTAATGAGAAAAAATGTATGGAGAAATGTTGTATAACCTAGGATTTTTTGAAAATGGGAAAGAGGTGAGCTTAGATGGGTGTATTCAAAATTTTGAAATGTAATCCAAAAGAACACATCAATCTTTATGAGCAAGCCAAATGTGAAAGGCAGGCATTTCCTCCACTCCCCTCCTTTCTAAGGTATATAGTATGTCACTATTAAAGTTTTCACAAAAAGGCTTTTTAATATTTTTATATAATCTGGGTAAAGGCCTGCTCTAAATGGGCCTAAAGCTTTCCACTTCCAAAGTACCTAAATATTTATATGTCAATCTTTAACATATTAAGTTTAGTAAATGCATGCCAGGGATTTGATATTACAATCCTAAAGCCATTACGCGAATACTTAATGTTGTTAAACGGCCCAATTTGAGTCGATTTTTAAAAATTTCCCGGTTAAGATTTTAATCAAGATAATATTATGTAAGCCTATTTTGGTTAAAATCTTTATCGGGCCGTTTTCAAAAATTGTCTCAAATCGAAAACTCTATGAATATTAAACCATTTCCCTCTATGTTTTAAAAATCTTTGATAAAATTCAACTTCAATGTTAGGGGAAAGAGTTTTATAAAAAAAAAAATCTTGAAATTAAAAAAATTAGAGAAAAGAAAATAATTCAATCTTTGAGATGTGTATGATAATAGAAATATAAAAAATAGTATTAAAATAACAATTATGACACAGATGCCATTAAAAAAATTTTTTGGATAATTTTATAGGTATGCTTATTCGACCTCTGTTTTGGTTTTGGTTTTGTGATTTACAATTAAATATACTTGCACCATGTTTGGGAATCATTAATTTAATGATGGTTTAATGAAAAATATATAATCTAACCTATATTATTAATAATGATTTGTACAAAAAGTTGATAAAATGTTTAAATACACCTTTATGATCGATCTTTCAAACTGTATTATATATAAACAATAAATTTTATTAATATGTAATATTTTTTAAACTTATAAATTTTTCTATAATATTTATCCCTTCTATATTTATATAAATGTTTTAGGTTTGATTGGAATTACTTCTATATTCCACAATGTTAAGAATATGTTGAAGAAACTATATCATTCTCTTTTTACTATTTTTTTTGATTTATAATGAATTATTTTACGGCATTTCCGATGAATGGGATAATACGGAATTTGCCACTATAATTCTCCCATATCTACAGTTCCACATAAGACTATTAACTTAACTTCCCAGTTCAAGCTTTTAAAAAAATCATCCCACATTTCAATAAGGGGGCAGGGAATACATTCCTATGTGCTAACATTTTTTTCCCCGTTTTTAAATAAAATTAATAAGTGTCTTTTTAAATTCAATATTTGTATCCAACAAGATAATGGATTTATTTTATAAAATTTTTAAAAAAAATTAAAGTCATTCGATAGATATAAAAAAGTGAAAAGCAATTATTTTTTTACTATTTTGAAATGATTAATATATATGTGTAATAGTAAAATAACTAACATTATATTAAATTAGATTAAAAAATATCCAGATATAAAAAATAACATTTCCTACACCACTTAATATTAATAAGTAAATTCAAATGCGCAAATTATTGATACAAATAATTTAAAATTTTTAAAATGTGATAGAAGAATAATAATATTTTATTTTTACTATTATAATAATTTACAGTGTATAAATTTCAAAGAGACAAATCACTAAAAAGTGTACCTACATTGAAGTCCCCATTAGAGCGCATTAAAACGAAAAGCCTTTCAATGGCATCCACTATGGCGCACAGTCTATAACATTGATTGTCGCGGACTTCAATGAATGTATACTTTTTTAATAAATGACCCGCTAATCTAGGATAGTATATATTGTCTTGGGTATCTGCACATTGTATTATTTAAGATACCCGATTCTAATTATTGAAGCAAAGGGCTTCGCTAAACTGTTATCCTTTAATAGTGAGAAATAACTTCTTATTTAAATTAAATCTAGGCGTCCTGAGAACCAATCACGTGATTTAAAATTCTATGATCTTTTTTTCTTAATAATATAAATACAAAATTATAGTATTAAAAGAAATTTTGTTTAGCCTATTATGCTAATTAATTATTTCCTCCATTTTTAATTTTAATTTTATAGTGTTTTAGAAAATTTCAGTTTGGACCCACCAATAATTTTTCCCAGCACGTAAGATAATTATTTGCAAGTTGTCCATTTGCCCAATACTAAATTTTTATTAAAGGAATGATTAAATTAATTTGAACTTGCGGGTGCGGTCCGCAAAAATACTTTCCCCAAGTTGTCCGATCTTTTGCTCGGCCTGCAGAGCTATACCAACCTCTAATATATATTTATCAAAAAAAAAAAATTTTTTTTTTTGAGTATATTATCTCAACTTTATTTACTAAAGTTTAATGTGGAGTAATAATTCCCGTTGAAAAAAAAACAATTCTAAATATTAGTTAGGGGATGTTATTTTTTCTAAATAGGCTGGAATACATATAACATTTTTTTAAAAAAAATTTTGAAATATTTATCTTGGGTTTAATTTTAAGAAAAAATGAAAATACAAGAAAAAAAATTACATACTGTCATTTTAATAAATTTTTTAAAATGAGCAATTGAAATTTAATTTTTTTTATTTATATTAGATAAGTGGTCATCCTCACCATTACAATTTCAAATCGTTATCAATCACCAAGACACCCAAGGAGATTGTATCTTTATCAACTAACAAAGGCAAGCGTAGATCTAGGAGGCAAAGTAAACTCCAAATCGATGATTTACACAGGTGGCAAAATCTAAAATATGATCCACAGGTTAAAAATACTTTTCAATTTGCATATTTTTTTAGGTTTGGCTGGACCCGTTGATTTTATTTATAATTGCCTTACAACAAATTCTCCCACCCCTCCCTCCAAAAATATATAATATTCGATTGCATTCAGATTGAATTTAGAAATCAGATGGAATATAATTACTTTAGGCCAATGGTCGATATAAGCTAGATTTTATTAAGTTCCTAAGTTTAATACGAATTCAGAAGACTACTTTACCTTTTTTTTCGGTTTCTAAAGAGATCTATGAATCTGGACCGAACCTTACCGCTCATAATTCGTCAGAAGAATATTTTTTAAAATAGGTCAATTTGATTTAATCAAATAATTTTCAAGTTTTATTATACAATATTTTTATTTCATATTTTTTTTTTTAAATGAAATTTTGTTATGGCGATAATATGATGTTGTTTTACTTTTTTTGGTTACCAACTTTAAATCATTTATTGAGTGGGTTTTTTTAAAAAATATTATTCCTAAAAATTTAAAATACATTAAAATAAAAATATAATTTGAAAATTGTGTTCTTAAAATAGGAACTATTAGTTCGTCTAAAAATTTCTTTCTTTCTTTCTTTCTGTGGATTGAGGCGTTTGTCTTGGGTTACATCTTATCAAAAATTACAATAATTATAAAATTGAAATTTAATTTTTTTTTTGGCGATTGCGCTCATTTTTTTAATAGGATTGAATCTCTATCTTAAGCTCTTTCATTCAAATAATTTGATGTCGTACTTCTGAGATAAGTTTTTATTCTACGTAATGAAGAAAAGGTCCTTGATTTGTACTTGTTTGTTGCCAAAATATAAAGTAATTTAAAAAGATTTGGAAAAAATTATATATTTTATAATAATCATGATTCCATGGTGTTTCTTGAAGGATTTCATCTTTTTCATACCAAGATTGAAATTCTGAAATTAATCGGCAGTCAGATATGGCCTTCAGATGCATTTATTACCTCGAATAAAATTGAGTGAATTATTTAATAGTAATATCTAGATTTAATATATCCTAAGACAGTTATCTAGGTAATATTTAAAAATTGGATAGAGCCATTTGGTGGTACACAACGTTCATTAATTTGAGTCAAAAATAGAATAAAAATGGTTATTTAATAGTAATTCTCATTGAGTCCACGTTAATATATTGGCGATTGTTTGCCTAGGTGAAAGTCGAGAATCTAATAATGTATCAGATTCAGATGAAGTATCTGGTTCTGACCATTCTGATTTCTCTAAGGGCATTAAAATAGGATCTTTTAGATCCAAAAATACTTTAACAACTGGGTTAAAGGCTTCATCGTGACGGACATGCTTTTTGCAGTTTTTTTTTCTTTTTAGTGCAAGAATTATTAAAAGTAAAATTCAGCAAATTGTATCTAATCATTACTAACCTCTTGAAGACCTTATTTCTTCATTATCTATCTTTTTAGATTCTTTTATTTTGTTTAATAATTTTATTTGCAATTATTGTGCATCAGATTGTGAAGATGAATAATCAATTATAATCGGGAAGGTTTTTTGGTTGATAAAATTTTCTTATATCCATCAGTTTTTAAGGTTTACAAAAAAATGTAAGAAAATATGCTTTAAATATTTGTAGGAAAAAGTAGTTAATATATAAGGAAGAAATATAAAAATTAATATAACTTTTTGCTTAAATTTAAAATAAAATATAACATATTTGAAATTGAATATATTGCATATTATAATTCATAAAACCTTTTATCTAAATTTTTTGCTAAGTTGCCACCCCCCCCTCCCTGTCTCACATTGGCTACAAGCCTGTTATTGATGAATGACGACGATATTATTTCTTTACATTTTATAATGCTCTTGCAGTTTTCAGGTTCACTATCTGTTCTGCATTCATATTGTTTACAATCGGCTCCTCTTCTTATGAGGATTTATTTTTATCAACTTATCACCAATGTCAATTAAATTAGGCATTAAGCATAATTGTGTTTCGATTTTTTAAGTATAAAAATATAAATTACATTTTTTAAAAAAATAAATTTGATCATATTTTTAATTTATAAATTTATTACCTTTGTTAGGGTATAATTATTGATTTCTCATAATTTATATAATAAAACATTTTTGAAAATAAAAAATAAGCAAGTTAATGTTATAAAGTGTTCCAAAACGGTTTTAAAGAAATTATCAAAAAGCAACATGTTAAAATTATTTCGTAAAAATCTTAGAATAATTTTAACAAAAAATTTGATTTTTTTTTCCTAATCGAATAAATGTTTATTCATATTCGAACAAAATTAATAATTTAATTTGAAAATTTAACGTTAAAATTAGATGTGAAATGATATTTTTACAAATATCCTATGAGTTCAACTAATTTGTAGCTATCACTCTTGCTGTATCATAAGGAAGTTAAAATATAAATATACGATTATTTAACCTTCCCAATAGCCCGTTTAGGTAGATTTTTAAGGACCACCCTATCAAGATTTTATCCAAAATAATAATATAGTTTCGAGATTTGGCAAATAGAGATTCGAACCCTTCTGCCATCTCTGAGAAAATCTTCAGATCTATCTATGAAAAACTATTTTGGTTAAATCTTAATCAAGCCATTTTGAAAAATAGACCCATCGTTAAACGGGTCGATTTGAGCCGATCCTCTAGGTCTCTAGATTTTGCTGATGTCCAAACCTTTGTGCCCTCCATGAGTAAAATTTTCAAGTTTGTGTATTTTTCTGGAAAAAAATATCAAGTTTGAAGTTTTTAAAATCGAATCGAACTATTTAACAAAACTTCTTCGCATTCCCTTATTGTGAAATCTTATGATGACTCATTTCTAAATTAACTAACTGACAGAATTCAACCAATTGTAATTCGTGAAATCTCAAAGGTCAATCATGTTTTTCCTCTAAGAAATAATACTCAAAGAAGATACATCATTTAATAAAAAATTAAAATTAGATTTCATGATTGAATTCGGAGAAATATAATTTAACGAAAAGGGAATCAATAAACACATTATAAATAAAATTTATATTTAAGAATAATCCTATCTTTCAATGCTAACAAAAAACTTTGATGTGACCATTTTGAGCTCAAAAAATAAATTAATTTAATATTCATTTTATTTTTCTTCTTATCTTCTTTTATCTTTGAAACATATCATAAAATTTTAAAACCTTTTATTTTCATCTTAATGTAATATTTTTTAAATATATTTTTTTATATCCTTGTTATATTTGTCACAAAATAATATTAATTAAAATTTAGTAAAGAGAAGGAAAAAAAGGCTTTGAATCAATTAGATTTCCCTTTTATAATATCTATTTTTCTCTTTCCTAGGTTTTCATTTCCTTTTTAAAATTAGCATTTCATCATACAATATAGCGTTTTAATTGTGACATTTAAAAAAAAAGGTTCATTACGTTGTACGACAGCCTGGATTTATAAGAACTAAGAGAGGTTATAAAGCTCTTGAATTGAAATTGCCTCAGCCCAACTCCATCAAGGAGCCTAATGACCCACTATTTGGAGATCAATGGTATTTGGTGAGTTGAAATTTTTTTTTTTACACAAAACGATTTATTACTTCTTTTTCTTATCAACTTCTATTCCTTTTATTTCGGGAGATAACCTTAGTAGAACTAAATTTAAAATTTTTTTAATTTAAATATTTTAATTAATTTTCATTTTTTGAATAATCGAAATCGATTTTAAAAAATTGATTTTTTTACATCCCGAAGAATGAAAAAATGAATATAAATCCATAAATTTTTCCATTTCTTATTATTAACTTTAATATAACATTTCTGCTTGTACTATGTAATTTCATATTCATTTTATCAATCAAGTTTTTAACCCTTTCCATATCACAGGGTTGAATTTATGGGGGAAAATGTTCTTTTTATATTTATGAATATCAATGAGGATAGTTTTTGATTATTTTTTAATTTATGAAGAGGGTGGATAGGATTTTTAATGGGATTAGTTGGGGTGGATAATGCTATACGAAATATTTTACTATATAATGGAACTTTATGTCGAATTTGGGTTCTTTCCTAACTTATCAAATATAAGAAATCTATTTTAAAAAAATATATAAAATAAATTGCTGTTGTAACTAATTAGGATTTCGAATACTAATTTCTGGATTAAAAGATAAAATTTTTTACGAGATATATTTTATGATATTATTATTATTATTGGCAAAAATATAGATGAATCAATTCTCTTGAAAACTAAAATTAGTTGTTTTTTTTTCTCTAAATCAATAATAACGGAAATTTTAAAATTACAAACAATTTTGCGATTTTCGTATTTACCTATTTTTTTTTTCTTCGTTACTCAGAAAAACACGGGACAAAATGGGGGTAAAAAGTATTTGGATTTAAACGTAGAAGCTGCTTGGGCTATGGGCGTGACTGGAAAAAATGTGACTACAGCCATTATGGATGATGGTAATTTTTTCAAAAAAAAATAAATAATCGATAAAATTATGATGGAAAAAAGTGGAAAAGTAAATATAATAAAAGGAAGATGAAAGATTGTAGATAGATCATTAAGCATGGCTTAAAATTATTCATTTTTTTAACGCATTTTAGCCCTAAGTCATTATATTATTATGTATATGAGCTCGGATTAACAGCTGATCGATATTTTTAAAATTTGTTACCTATATGGTCAATTTTTCTTTATTAATAATTAAAAGACTTTTAAAAATCGCTCAGCTATTAAGTCATATCGGATCGGATCCTTATACGAATCCAGCCTATTACATAGCCTAGGTAAGAGCGAACACATATGACTGTTTGTAGCACTAAGGCCTTATTTATAGAGCGCTAATAGCGTCACATCTCATCACGATGCTTAAATTTCAAAAAAATAAACACTGGCAAACAATTGAACTTCGTTTAGCTAAGAGTATCGCACCGCTCTATATTTAGAAATTAAAATGAGGAAAAAGTTAAATAAAAGGGTCATACAAAATTTTTAATTTTATATTTTTTTACTTCTATTTATAAATTTAGGGATCGATTACACTCATCCAGATCTCAGGGAAAATTTTGTAAGTCTTCATAAAACATTCTATTTTGCACACATATATATTTATATTTATTTTAATATTTTCAGAACGCGAAAGCCAGTTACGACTTTAGCAGTAACGACCCTTATCCGTATCCAAGATACACTGATGATTGGTTTAATAGGTATTTTGACAACTTATTAAACATCTACTTTTTAACTCATTTTGTTTTCTTCATAATATTCATCTTTCATTACATTTATTGTGGTGAATCAATTCTATTTAGGTTATTGTTCTAATTTTTTGTAGCCAAATTCCTATTTTTTAGCGACCTAAGTAGGCGTCTTTTAAAAATATATCTAAATGAAGCATGACCGTGCATTCTCATTTTGTATACTTCGCCGCGAATTCGCGCAAACTGTGAATGCAGGATAAATAAGCTCGGGCAATCAATTTTTTTAGACATGGGCCTGTATATTAATCCCAATGAGCTTGTATTTAGCTCTCACTCAATTTTTATGTCAAATTTTATCCTTTATTATGCTAAATATACTATCAAACTAATCGTTTTAAAACATATAAATAAGCCATGGCACAAGATGCGCCGGTGAGGTATCTGCCAAAAGAGATAATGGAATTTGCGGGGTCGGTATCGCTTATGATTCCAAAGTTGCTGGTAAATTTTAAATTATATTGCTTTTTTTCTTTTTCTCATTTCATAATTTGTAATGATTTTATTCTAAAGCCATTTTTATAACTACGAATTTCTATTTTATTTCTGTGAGAAATAAAATATCTTAGGTATAAGAATGTTGGATCAACCTTATATGACGGATCTGATAGAAGCTAATTCTATGGGGCACGAACCTAATTTGATAGACATATACAGCGCTTCTTGGGGACCTACAGATGATGGCAAGACAGTAGATGGGCCTAGAAATTTAACCATGAGAGCTATAGTCAAAGGAGTTAATGAGGTTTTTAAAAATAATTTATAATGAACAAGAAGCCTTTTCTGTTATCATTTTGAGAAATAGTCCCTCTCACACAGTACTTAATATTAATAAAATCTAAATTTAAACAAAAAATATACATTTTTTAGGGAAGAAATGGTTTAGGCAATATATACGTATGGGCTTCAGGAGACGGTGGCAAAAATGATGATTGCAATTGTGATGGATACGCTGCAAGTATGTGGACAATTTCCATAAACAGCGCTATAAATACAGGAGAGAATGCCAGATACGACGAATCTTGTTCTTCTACTCTCGCTTCCACTTTCAGCAACGGGGGAAAAAATCCTAATTCAGGAGTGGTAACGATCTTTTCTTTTCTTATTTCCTTTTCTTAAATAATTTTTTCCACCCAGGGCCCTCTAAATTTGCGTCAATAAAGGGGGTAGGGGGCTTAGATAATTGGCTAGGGGATCTATAAGGTTCTTTTTTAACCAGTGACCTAATAAAATACCTAGATTGACGATTTATTTGTTTAAATGAGTATCACTGCAAATCAGCTGGTGGCACGCCATATTGTGTATCCATATAAACAATTTACAAAGGTAGGTTTTATTTATAATAAAAATAATTGCATAGTAAACTATAATGACGCGTCATCAGCTGATATACAATTTAATAACGCTCCAAAATGCATTTTAATATAAGAATTTTCAGTCTAGGTAAGTATTTTATATCATTTTGGTTCTCACCGAATTTTTAAAACTTTCATAAGTTTTAAAATTATAATAAAATCGTATGTTAAATTTTTTAAATTTCTAGAATTATATTTTGGACACGTTTTAATTTTTATATTAAAAAAAAGCTTATTTTTTCTTTTTCGATTAATTTTAAAAGTTTGTGAATTAAATATATTGATATTTTGTACCACATCCTTACAAATATATATTTTTAAAACCTAAATAAAAGATTTATAGAAACCATAACTATTAAACTTATCTATGGAAAAATTATTTTACATTTTAGGGGTGACAGGAGATAGTGGGAGCCGGTAATTTCTTCTAATCATTTAAAACTCATAAACTTTGAGATTTAAAATTTAAGCCAAATATATATTTTAATAAGATGTTTAGGTAGGTAAAAATGTTACTTACATTATTGCTCCATGATAAATTTTAAATGCAAATTTAAATTTTCACACGTCACAAATAACTTTTTATTTTTTACATTTTACCAATTTTATAAATGATATTCGGACTAAATATCAATTGTAAATGCTAAAATGAACTCAATTTTATCATGTATAAAAATATTACCAATATTCATGTTAAATTAATATCCCTTAAATTAAATTTTAATTGATTGTGAAGACCTGGGGCAGATTTTGACGGGTACGTATTAGCCATTTTTAAACAGGGATTTTTTGGAATGAAAAAATTCTACTAAATTTATAAGAACATTAGAAGCCACTAGTTTTTCTAGGGTCCCAAATGATAATATGAGAATTATTGGTTTATTTCTTTTAAATTATATGACAGCTTTAAGATGACAGCAAGTTATATCTGGTGATATATAATAAAGTGAACCTGGTGAATTTAATATATTTGACAATTTATTCTCACTTATTTATTTAGAATTTCTATATATAAGAACTAATAATAAAGAACGATATGACGATGCAACGCGAAAAGATAATAGACACTTAATTCTTAAATTTCCATTTTTAAATCTAAAAGATTATTTTCTTAGATATTTATTTCTACTATAGAGATAGATATATGTAAAGAATAAAAATACTTTTAAACTTTGGAAAATTTTCTTGATCTAATTTTTATAGCACTCCAATTTTTTATGGACCATACAACCCCGGTCTCCTCTACTTAATTTTTACATTATCTCTACAATATATTGGCATTCAAAATAAAGTAGTTACTGCATATATATATTTAGTTTAACCAAAAAAAAAAAGATCTTAATCCCTTAAAATTTTTAGTAATAACAATTTTATCTATAGCACGGAACAAAACCTAATTAAAGGAGACCGGGGTTATATTGTTCATAAAGAATGGAAGTTCTATAAAAAAAAAATAGATGAAGCAAATTTTCCAAAATGTTTAAATGAATATAAAATTTTAAAAAAAGAAAATTTAAGAATTACCCGGGGTACCTTTTACTATTTTGCGGTGCGTATTATAATACTTCTTCATTTTTAAAAAAATGATAATATATATCAGAAGAACTTTTTGGCACTTAAGACTATAGTATAATTTACAAAAAAATAGGGCATTCATCTTTATATACAAATTTGTTACCCTAGATCTTGGCTTTTAATGTTCTTAAAAATGTAGTTAAATTTTTTCTTATTCAAAAATAAATCCCTGTCTTAAAATGGCTGCTAATACGCACCCAGCTAAAACCTGCCACAGATCTTCATATTTAATTAAAATTTAATATCAATACATTTAATTACCAAAGATTATCAATATTTTTATACATGATAAAATTATTGTGATTACTTTATCATTTAGAATTGATATTTAGTCTGAATAACTTTTATAAAAAAAATTATTAGGTAAAAATGTAAAAAATTAAAAAATAACTTTTGACGGGTTAAAATTTAAATTAGCATTTAAAACTTTTCATGAGCATATTTCTGTCAAACATTTTTTAGAAGCATTAGCATCTTATTAAAATACATTTATGGTTTAAATTTTAAATATCAAAGTTTAATAATTTTAAAATATTTGAGAAGAAACCCTGCCCCAAAAGTGAAGGGCTCGATTTGAGCTGATTGTTAAAAACGTATAACTCAATATTTTAGCCAGAAAAATATTGCCTAACACCCAAAATTTAAGTAATAGCTGTCCAAACCTTTGTGCCATCTATGAGAAAAATCTCTAGGTGCGCCTAATATTTTTCTAAATAAAATATTGAGTTGACCGTATTTAAAAATCGACTCAAAATAGAGCCAAAAATGAATTTGACTTATACCACATTGTGATAATAAAAGGCGACGACTGATTTGTATGCGAAATGCACCAAGACTCATTCTGGAACATCCGCCGCAGCTCCTGAAGCAGCCGGTGTTTTTGCTTTAGCCCTAGAAGCAAAGTTAATATAATAATTTTCATGAAACTCATATACATGATTTTTCTTTTTTACAATTTGAAAATATAGTATAATTTTTTTTATTTTATCTTAAATCTTTATATGAAAAATTTTAGCCATCCTTATTAGGTGTGTTGTTAACTGGAATTGGGTTTAAAAAATTCTATTTACAAATAATCTTAATAAAGAAAGCTTATATTAGCCCCAACAAATTAATTAAAGCCGGGAAATGGCAAATACTATAAAAGTTTTTTTTTTGAAATTGAATATAAATTAGCCCGTTCCTAACTTGGAGAGATATTCAACATTTGACGGTCTTCACTTCGAAACGCAATTCTTTGTACGACAGTCAAGGGGAATTCCCCTGGACAAGAAATGGAGTGGGACTAGAATTCAATCATTTATTTGGCTACGGCATATTGGACGCTGGGGCTATGGTAGCATTAGCTAAAACATGGAAACCAGTTCCACTCAGATTCCATTGTGAGGCTGGGGTATTCAAAGACATTCGGTAATTTCAAATACACTTAAATCTATAAAAAGCACTATTAAAATAACAAGTTTCAATTTAACCTGCCCAGTGAGATCATTTGTCATCAAAATTTTTAATCAATTAATTTTTATATTTTAAGAAACTAATGGTTGGTACTTAGAGATAATAATTTATAAAACAATATTTATTATTTCATATTAACCTGTCAAAATCATTATTTTATTATATCAAAATGTCAAAATCATTATTTTATTATACCAAAATACAAGTATTTTTTGTTCATGGGAAATATTCTAGGCGCGAAAGATAGTTTGCTTAATTTGAAAAAAAATCTTTATTTTAAATGCATTTTTTTGAAGGGGAACTAATAGACTTAACGATGTAGAATAGAGATAAAATTGATAATACACCGATGTGTTGTAAATATGATATTGTAAATGATATCAAAAATAGATGGATAAATTTATATTATTTGAAAATTTTAAGAAATAAAGATAAATTACGAATTTCAAAAAAATTTCCTCCAATAATTTAACATCTTGTTTTTTTAATTTCAATTATTTATCATTAATTTAATTTAAATTAAATAAACTAACTTATAAGTCAAATCCCATCTCATGGCTCTTTGACATTACATATAGACACTGATAGTTGCAGGGGCAAACAAAATGAAGTTAATTTCTTGGAACACGTTCAGTGCGTTATAACTTTAAACAGTACCAGAAGAGGAGACGTCACCATATATCTCATATCGCCCAGTGGAACTAGGTATATATTTTTAAAAAAATTTATACATATATAACTTTCATCCTTTTTTCCCTGACTTTCTTCTTTTTTTTTACAACTTTCAAAACATAACATCCAAGTAGTGTTGTTAAAAAGCTGCTTCGGGTCGATTTAAAAAAACGGTACAATTAATATTATAACCAAAAGGACATTATGTAAGCCTAAAGGCTCGTATCTGGCAGAAATGCTTGGACATCTATTTGCCAAATCTCGATGCTCACATACATTTTAACTAAAATCCTAATTGGGCTATTTAACAACACTACATCCAAGTTTATATATAATAAATTCAATAAAAGAGGCCTATCCCGTACATATAAAATAATTGTTTTTAAAAATGAAAAGAAAAAGAACAACGAATCTTAATACGTTTTACAAAATAATATTATGTAAACCAAACTAAATTGAATAAACTAATAATTGTGGGACGACCGATTTTAATTCATTGTTAAAAACCTGTGCCATTCCTGTAAATAGATATTTCTGCAAGTTCTCTCTTGATAATTTTAGAAAAAATACAAATTTTTTATTTAGAAAGTAAATTTGTATCTAAAACAAAAATAACACTATTCACAGATCCATGCTTCTGAGCAGAAGACCTTTCGACGATGATTTTAAGGATGGATTCTATAAATGGCCTTTCATGACGACCCACACGTGGGGAGAAAATCCTAAAGGAAGATGGACAATGGAAGTCAAATTTAAAGGTTAACTATTTATTTATTATTTAAATATTTCATACATGAATTATTATGAAAAAAATAAATGCGCATTATTTAACTAACTGATGGATGTAGTTCAGTAGAATTACACATTATCCCCCCACCCCAGTCTATCATCCACCTGCGCATCATATTATATTTTATAATACAATCTTAATAATAGTATTACGAATCGAAAATGAATTTGGTGAACACCATCTTTTTGTCTATAACAACCAAAAAAAACGACCGTTTCTGAATTGTCACCTCATATAAAAGTATCACAGTATATTAAACAAAAAAATCTAAAACAATTAATTTTAATCAGATAATTTAACCGACAAAAAAAAACACTTTTTAATAGGTGACGAAATTCAATCTGGTCACTTGAAGCAATGGACACTACTATTGCACGGCACTAAAAGTTCCCCTTACGAACATCAAATAATATCGGACCCAAAGTCTAAATTGGCTATAGCCAAGAAAGCTCATGACCTTCAACTTTAAATATTTTTTTCTACTACACTAGAAACAGAATTATTTAAAATTTCTAGAAAAATAAATAAATATTGGTAATGGATTTTTATCTTTTTCTTACATTCCTAAATGTCGTAAATGTAAATATTTATAAATGATACGTCATCAAAACTCTCGTATATTCCTAAATGTCGTATACATACATTTAATTCATTTTTAAAATAATATTTCAACTAAAAAATTCTTGAAAATGTTTTGTGAGATAGTGTTTGTTGAGATTATTTTAAATTAATTTATTATTTCTATTCACCCCCCCCAATCCCCCCTCCCTTATCCTAATTACTGAATTATTTTTGTGTGAAAGCCCAATCCCTTACTAGACGGCTTGTTATACAACTACCTATTGGTACATTTATTCACTATTTATATGTGTTTCTTTTTTTAATTTAACCCCAGTGAATAAATCATTCGTCAATATATTTTTATCTACTTTATTTTCCTCATTATTTCTAGTCTAACCTTTGCTAATAAGTCTAGACTTAATCATAGTTAAAACTTGTTCCTTTTTTTCAATCATTTTATTGTTAATTATAATTTATTGTAAACTTATATAATTTATATTTTATAAAAAATTATTCAAAAAAATCTCAAAAATTAAACCAAATATATTATATAATATACACAAGCACAAACTATTATAATTTTCTTATATTTTATATATAGTAATTATTTATTATTCAACAAAATAATTATCTATCTACATATCTTTTATATATATATATTATGTTCATTCTAAATAAAATAATTCGACCAAAATATTTTTGCATAATGTTTTATTTTCAAGAAATTTTTTTGTTAGTTAAATTTTGAATGGTAAGCAAATTTGAGTTAAAATTCAAAATATAAATATAAATAAAAATTAGCATAATTCAAATTTATAGAATAAATTATTACATAATTGTGTATTATAAAGATCGATACACTGTATATACATTTAGGTATTAAGTTATTAGTTAGCGTCTCTCCTTTTTTCGTTATTTTTAGAAATACAAATAGAAGAATAAATTCACCTTTAAGCATTTTTAGATGCTATCCTTACAAAACCTATATTTTGTTATAAAAAAAAGTTTCCTACTCTTCTGAATAGATTGCTCCATTTCAACTAATTCTAGCTTTAAAAAAAATGGCATTGAATTGTTTTGTCATAATGTATAAACAAATAAAATATAAATTGAAGATATTTTTTTAACAAAAAATATAATAATTTTTAAATTATATATAATCATTAATTAAATTGAATGGAGAAGCGATTCTTGGTTTAATTGATGATTTATTCTTTTTCCTAGTTAGCATTTTTTAAGTGATGAATGTATCATGGGGATAATGTGGTTTGCCTTAAATGCATTATTTATATTTTAATTTAAAAAATATAATAATATATCAATAGAAAATCTTAAAATAAATTTACATATATATTAGTATTTTATATTTATAATCTAAACTCTTAAGTAAATTTGAAAGATTTGTTGAGCTCCCTCTTTTGGAATAATGTTGTTAAACATCTCGATTTTTAAACGTTAACTCAATATTTCAGCCAAATAACATTATCCAGGCCTAATAATCTCTTAATTTCGGGGAAATCCGGTTACCACTACTTTGGAAAGAATTTTCTTATTATCATACTTAAGCTTCTGGACGTCAAAAAAAGAGGAAATACGAAAAGGTGATTGAACGGGTTCTAATTGGCTTTTTGATATTCTTAGACTTTACGTCTTAGAATTAATTTCGGACCAAACTGGACCCGGACTTCCAAAAAAATCTTAGCCATAAAATTGTGTTTATTTTCTATCAGACTATGTATTAGTTCGTCTTATAGATACTCATTTCTGTTTGGCCCAAGACTAAACAAATTTTGAACAAGGAAACCCTATTTTGGTTTGTTTTATAAGTTTAAACATTAAAATATAGATATGTTTATATATTTTTTTGATACTGAATAGCCACTTTATTATTGGGCTTTTCGGAGAAAGCTATATAAGGCTAAACAAAATTAAATTTCAAAAATAAGACTAACCGGGAAACCGCCCCATAGATTTTCTTATAAATATCGTGCCTTTTGAGTAGTTCAACAAAATATATCAGATCAAGCTTGCAACCGGTTTCGAATAGCTTTGGACTAGGGTAGTATTATTAAATGACCCAATTCGGGTGGATAGCGGCTCAATTAAGATTTTAGCCAAAATAATATAATGTAAACCTGGACATTTTGCTCATAGGCAGATAGGTTTAGGCCTTTGTATATTAAATTTCGAGGTTTACTTGTTTTGGCTAAATTTTAATCGGGCTGTTTGACAACACTAGACGACTTATATAATTAAAAATTAATTCTCAGATCCGATCGGTCAGACACATAATTTTTCGAAGTCGAAAAAGTAGGTCTTAATTCGCGGCGCGGCGTAGTATACAAAAAGAATACAAAAATAAAGTATATTATGTATACTTCGCCCAAATTAGCTATTCAGGGCTATGCAAGGTAAACAGAGAAAAATGTAGTACTAAGAAGACTTAAAAAAAAATATACAAGAATTTCATAAAATAATTATAAATTATATCGAAAATTGGCACAATGTGTCTTATTTCTCCCTAAATATTTTATTTAGAATTAAAAAAAAAGGGAGGAGAAATTTAAAAAGGTTAAATAATTTTGAAAGGTTTTCTTTACGAGAAAAAAAAAATAGCATCTAATTTACATTTTAAAACAATTTTAATTTTTTGAAATGCAAAACAAGAGTATAGGGAAAGTCGTGGTGTCCTCTTCGTATAATAACTACACAACTTGATAGTTTTCTTTCGGAAAATATTTTAATTTCGAAAAAAAAGGATATTATTATTAATCAAATTTAAAAAAGACAAAATTTAAATTAATTTTTTTTTTAATGAAATAAGTCACGAAGGTCCTAACTATTTATATATATATATATAAGTCAAAAATTTATATTTAATCATATATAAATTAATTAAACCCTCTTCGTTCTGAAATTTTAATCTTCAAATTTTAATATCCCCAATATCTAAACTTTTAGTCACTTTGCTCTCATGTTTAACCCGATCGTACTATCAGGACTCTTGGCTTTATTTACACTTATTAGTCCAACAACTGCTATTGGGATTCAAGATATCAATGCTTTTCTAGCCTTAAATAATCAGGGTTTACATGGATTATCCCAGGGCTTGCCACAAAACTACCCACAAGTAATGCCCCAAGCTAGGAGTAACCCCGGTGAAAATATAATTTTTTTCATCTAAATTAAATAATTTGCAGTATTTTGTTTTTGAGAGGAATCGTTATTCTGATTCCTTATAAATTTACAATTTGTCATTCTTATTTTTACTCAGCTAATCCTTGCACATTTGCCGCCGTATCTTCCAATTTCTTGTACCATCCTCACCCTTACTTCCCGAATAAATTTATACAGTGCGATCTGCAGGGAATTCCTCACGAACAATATTGTGCGCCGGGCACACTTTGGGACCAATATTCTTACACCTGCAATAGACCCCAAAACATCGGATAATTTTTTTAAAATTAAAATCAATTAATTATATTATCTAATTTTAAATTTATTTATTTTTTTAAATCTTGACTTATTATATTATGCAAAATCAATTTTAATTTACTGTATTTAAGAAATATATAAATAAAAAGTATCATATCAGTTCATATATGCATTTTATTAGAGGAATATTCAAATGTGTGAGGTATAAAAAAATATCTTAATTTTAAGAAAATATTGAATAGAAAAAGAAAATTATAGAAATTAATAAATTTGAATATCATTTTTTTTATTTCATATTTTGGTTTAAATTTTGAGGTCCTATATAAGGCTACTGTCCTTGCTCCACATATTCATTAATATTTTTTTTAAGTTTTAAAAAATAAAATGTTGAAATTTTTAAGTTTTGCCGTTTTGATTTTAGTATTTTCCACTGCTCATGGTAAAGAAAGATTCTTGGAAAAGTCGAGATGGAGTAGGCAACTAGGAACAAGTAATATAAATTTTAATTTTTTTAATTTAAATTTTGAATAGCCCCTACATACAACCCATGCACTTCTAATACCAATGCCCTAAGCTACTATCCACTACCTGGCAAACCAACCTTGTATATTCAATGTTCTAATGGTAAAGCTATTGTAATGAAATGCGCGCCCAGCACTTATTGGGTACCTCCTATGCAGGCATGCAGTTACGAATCTGATTACAAGGCTTATTTAGCCTCTTTGACATATAGTTCACCACAAGATACGTCTTCTTCCTCTCTCGGTAGGTCTTCATATGGTAAATATGATTTGGGGCAGCAACAGGGGTATCCTGGGCAGCAACAGGGGTATCCTGGGCAGCAACAGGGGTATCCTGGGGATCAACAGGGGTATCCTGGGCAGCAGCAACAAGTATTTCCTGCGTATTATAATCCATCCCAAACTATGACCAATTTCCCCCAACCACAAGTACAAGCGGGACGACTCGGAGGACCACCACCACCTAATTATATAACAGGTGTTTACCCATCTTTCCCTACAGCTACCTTGACGTTTCCTCCCTTCATATCTTTTCCGAATGCTGGAACATACGCTGGTGGAAATTCCATAAATCCCCAATTCTACCCTGGTGTCGGCCAAACTGACCTCTCCAGATCACAAATACCAAATTTGCAAAATCAAGGTCCTATACAGGGGTTCATTCCATCAATAAAGTCTGATCTGGGAAGTCCTTTCACTGGTAATCCCATCTCAAACTCTAAACCTTCGCTGAATTCAGGCTATGATCTTAGTGATTTAGCTGCATATTTGACCCAATCCTTGTCTGGGAATTCCCCAGCTAACAATTATTCTCCTGGTGATTCTACATATTTGACTTCATTGTCTTCCACGGCTAACAATTACGCTCCTGGGGGGAATCCCGCTGTTAGAAATTTTGCTGTAAGTTATGCTCCCAGTGACTCAAACGGATTTACTAATCCACAAGATATTTTCAA